AGAAGTATAAGTATCTAGTAATATTATAATAGTAGTAACGTTAGTACTACTACGTTACTAATATTATAAGCTAGTAGTAGTAGAGTATATTATAGACGTTAGAGCGTATAGATAAAGAGATTCTTTAGTCTATAGATATCTAAGTTTTTAGTACGTCTCTAATATATTAGAGCTAGCTATAATTATTAGCTATATTCTTACTAGATAGTATGTTATTATTTTTAATACGTCTACTTAATTACTACCTTCTTAGCTACTTCTCTTATCTATATAGATATTCTAAATCTATTAGCTTTATACTTCTATATCTATAATAATAACACTTATATATATAACGCTAACTCTTAGTCTTTAGTAGAGAAAACGTTATAGATATTTAGTATACTAAGAGTACTACACTCTTAGAAGTACTAAATTTATTTAGATACCTTCTACTTTAAAGCGTTATAGACTATATTAGATAATTATTAAAAGTAAATAAAGTAGAATATTAGTAAATTAAAGTAGTATCTTACTATTTATTATATTATTATGTTTATTATTAATAATAGTAAGTAGACTAGATTTATAGTAGATAATAATTAGTAAGATAGAATTATTAGAGACGTACTAGAAAGGTCTTGCCTAGTTATATATATAGGCTCTACTACTCTACTTCTTATAGTATTTAGAATATATACTATATTTATAAGTATAGAGATATCTTTACTCTATAACTATTATACTCTACGCTTATTATTATTATACTCTATAATACTACTACGTAAGAAAAAGATAGTAACGTTTAACTTACCTAAAGAGGTACTAAATATAATTACTCTTAGCTAGAGCGCTAAAGATAATAAGCTAGAGAATAATAATAATCTTAATACTATTAACTAAGATAATCTTAGCTATAAGATTAATATTACTACTAAGTACTAAGATAAGCTTAAATAAGTTAAGTAGAAATTAGTGTTTATAAAAAAGAAGCTTTAATTATTAGAAATAACTATAAAGTAGTCTTATACTTAATCTATAATTAGAGCTTATAAAGAGTGTATTAGTAATAATTATATATAGTAGTTATTAGTATTAATAATAAGTCTAAGATAGTAGAAATATTTTAAATAATAGATTAAAGTAAAACGTCTAGGTTTAGAGCGTAAGCTTAATAATTCTAGTTCTTAGATACTAAAGCTTATTACTCTCTAGATATAGAAGTTATATAATACTATATTATTAGTAATAAAAGAGAAAGGCTAGTTCTATTATTATTAATATTCTTTAGTCTATTTTATTACGTTCTCTATATATAAAAACTCTACTCTAGATTTAAGAGCTACTTTAGTAATATCTAAAGTAATTAGAAATAAGCTAAATACTAATATATATAGTAGTTAATTATTCTCTTATACTTAAAAAATAAGAGTAATAATTAGCTAGTACTATAGGTATTAAAAAAAGCGTAGTATAAGTAAGTAGAAAGAGAGAAAGAATAGAAAATATACTAGAAATCTATTCTATTTTATAATAGTGTTAATATTAATAAAGAGTATTAAATATTAAAAGGTATATTCTTTAATATTCTTAGAGAGTATTATTAATAATATTTAGGTATAAGTAGGTAAAGTAGCTAAGAGTATCTACGTAGTTAAGAAGAAAGATTTACAAAATATATAGAATAATACCTAGGCTAGATTTCTAGGTAGTTATAATAAAAAGGCTCTTTTTTAATAATTACTACTTAATAAGTGTAGTTATATTATTTAGGTATAATATTATTAATAATTAATAATATACTTAGTATATATAATATTATTTTAATACCTTCTATAGCTTAAGAAGTGTCTATAAATTAAGCTATAAATACTATAGATTATTAATAAAAAAAAAAGAATAATTAAACTTACTCTTTTCTTTTATAAAATACACTAGAATAAAGATTTATACTATTACTCTATATAATTACTTTTATTAACGTCTAGTATATAGAAATTAAGCTATTTATTTTTTACATTAATTAGCGTAAATATTATCTCTTAATTCTAGATCTATTACTTAAGTAGCTAGTAATCTTAGAGATTTAGGCTAGCTATCTTTTTTAATAATTTAACGCTTTTAATTATTCTAAACTATAAGATATAAAGGTAATTATAAGTATATACGTTAGTATTATTTAAATAGTAACGTTACTAATATATTATAAGATAGTAACAGCGTTTATTAAAAACTTCTATAACTATCTTATTAATATTAATATTAATAGTAGCTACTACTCTAGCTACTTATTTTATTAAGGTAGTATTTAGTATTTCTTACTTAATAAATATTAGTAACTAAAACGTATATGCAAATAGAGTAGGTAGTTAATAGAGTTTATATTAATAATAATTATAAAGTATCTTATTAGTGTAAATAATAATCTAAGTATAAGGTAGAATAAGTATATAGACCTATTACCTTGTCTAGAATAATTATATTAGTAATATAGTTAAATATATCTTTGCGCTTAACGCTAATAATAATAATATAATACTACTTTTTTCTTTATTAATATTCTTAATAGTATAATATTAAATATATTATATATTTTATATATAGTAAACGCTTACCTATTAACGCTATATACGTTTTTTATTAAGGTAGTAAATTTATTACTATAAATGTTATATATATTAATCTTTAAAGTAGTAAATACTTATTACTATAAATATTATATATATTTCTTATTAAGATAGTAAATATATTACTATAAAGATTATATATATATATATTCTTAATATAGTAAATTTATATTACTATAAACGTTATATACGTTTACTATTAAAGTAGTAAATATATTACTATATTACTATAAACGTTGTATACGTTAGAGCTTACTAGTAAGTTAATATATTACTATAATTATTATAAACATTAGACTTTACTAGCATAATTATATATTATAGTAATTATTATAAATATTTTAAATATTAGTAGAATTTAACTAGCGCTCTACTAGGTAAAACTTCTACTCTTTTAGTTCTAATAATTATAAAGATTATTATAGATAATTAAGTAGATAAAAGAGTATTATAGAGAAGAGAATAGTTATAAGTTATAAGTTATAATAACGTTTCTAACATTTTAAATAGACTCTTTACCTAAGAATAAGATTATTTAGAATATTATAGTAGATTATTATTAATCTTTACATAATTACTATAAGTCTTATAAGTAGCCTAGCGCGCTTTATACTAATCTCTTCTAAATATAAGCTATAATTATTAGTAACGTTCTAATTAGAAAAAGTTAAATTATTACTAATATTCTTAGAGTAGTACTCTATATTCTAAAAGTTAAAGATAAAATTCTAAAAACTATAACAAAGGTTAAATAGAAGTATCTATAATAATTAGTATATTATTAATAATATTTAATAAGACTAAACTTATAATAATCTTACTTTTAGAGGTTTTTAGTAAATAGCCTTTCTATATATATATTAGCATTATTAAGAATAATTAGAATATTATTACTTATAATAATAAGAAATTCTTTAATAAGCGTATCTTTAAAAAGACATTTATAGAGAAAAGTATTATTATTATCTAAGCTAAGAAGAATCTAAAATATTATTAATAATAGAATATAATAGTATATTATTAGAAACGTTTACCTAGTTACTAGAAAGGTTTAGCTTATTACTAATATAGTAGAAGTAATATTTTAGAAGTTAACTTATTAAGTATTAGATTATTATAGATAATAGTAAAATTATTTATAATAAACTTTTTTTACGCTATATTCTACTATAGATTATCTTATTACTTTTCTTATTATCTAGCCTATACTAATATTAAAACGTTCTAGATAATTATAATATAATAATAACTTACTTAGTATTAGTACTCTAATAATCTTACTACTACTTAACTTTACTAGTAATTATTAAAAATAATATTATAATTATTATAAATATTTATATACTAAGTATTCTCTTTAAACTATACTAAGCTAATAAACTTACTCTTAAAAATAGCCTTCTACCTATAATATTATTAGTAATAATTCTAAATAGATAATTTTAGTACTTATAAATTATTTACTATATTAAGGTAAGATAGTTTTTCTTCTTTATAAGAGCGTTTACTACTAGTACTATAGCCTTTCTTAGAGGTAGTTTTAAGCTTAGAGTCTAAATTATATAAGATATTTTTATAGTTCTACTTAGTATCTACTACTATATTAATCTTAATAATAATTATCTATAATAATATAGAAGGTAGTTACTATTTATTAAGAATAAAATAGATTTATAGATAGCTAGTATTAATATTATTAGTAACGTTTATAAAAATAGTACTTATTAGCTAAAGTAAGACTAGAGGTAGAGTAGAGTTAATTAGTTATATTATTAGAAAAGATTATATAGTAAAAGTAAGTTAGTTTAAGTAATTATAAAGAATAATTATAAGGTAAAAGTAGACTAGTTTAAGTAATTATAGTAAATAATTATATAGTAAAGATAGGCTAGAATAGAGAAATTATTAGAGATAATTAGCTATAATTATTATAGCTAATTAGTTTAAATTATTAGAGCTACTTATAGTTATAGTATAGTAAGGTAAAAAAGTAAGAAACTTAGTCTAATAGGCTATAATAAGTATAGTAGGGGCCTCTGCACGCTAGTAGCTACTAGGCCTAATTAGGCCTAGATCGCTACTAAGACTGTTAAACCCCGAGTAGAAGCTAAGGGACGCTGAGAAAAAACTTTGAGACGTGCTTGCTGAGAAAAGGATCACCATCGGTCCTTTACTCGGTCCCATTCCCCCGCCATCCGATTCGCACCGCTGCAACAGGCCCTGATGACGACGTAGGTGCTAATCGCGAGTGTGGTTCTTCAGTTCATGGCGAAGTTCCTACCTTACACCTTCTTATATGCCTTTTTTCGCCGATTGAGACGCGGAATACTATAGTAGTCTATGCTTGCCGCTCGCCAACTCCCTGTGGATACCTACTAGATGAATCAGGCCAGCATGACCACTCCGCGACGGAAGGCATGTGTCGAGTGCCGACAGCAAAAGGTACTTCCCCACCTCAATGCATCGCGACAACGTCCGCAATGGCGAAGATGGTTTACTGATCATTTCTTTGGCAGATCCGATGTGATGTCGAGCAGCACAAGGTACCGCATGACCCATGCGGCCGCTGCAAGAAGATGGGCCTCGAATGCCGCATTCTTCCCACGTCGACCAGGAACCTGCGCCAAACAAAGGCTGAGATGCGACGCGAATTGGAAGAGTTGCGATGGAATATGAGGCAGGGGCAGAATCCTGGCGATGCAAACTACCCGCAATCGACAGCATCACCGACCGTCGACATGCAAAACTACGGTCCGCTCGAACACGCTTCGGGCACATATTCTGATCCTTCCGGAAGGACAGATGCATCAGATTCCATGTCACCAGCTTTCGACTCGCGGCCACCGACGCGAAAAGGTTCCGATCATCACGGCACGGTACCGCGTGTGATTGATGGCTACCTGCTCGATTCAAAGAGAATCGACGATTGCTTCACCATGTACGTTGACTCAGAATGTCGTTCTTATCTATGCTAACATGACTGCAGTTACTTCACCCAATACCATCCACTGTTTCCTATCTTGGACCCTTCAATAGGGCCGAATGACTATTATGACCAATCGCCGTTCTTGTTTTGGACTATCGTGGTCACGGGATCGCGGCGGTACTCTGAACATGAAGTCCTAGAAAGGACGAGCCAGCCCATCACCCAGCTCGCGTTCTCTTCAATGGCGCTACGCACCTCACAAGTTCCGATCATCCAAGGTCTACTGATTCTGTGCACATGGCGACTACCCACCAACTCAATGTACAAAGATACGACACACCTCATGTGTGGATCGGCAGTACATCTAGCAACACAGATTGGTCTGCACATAGCAGGTGTTGGCCAGGATTTTGCTAGGACGCCGCTTGAGAAGGACCAGTCGCTCAAGGTGCAACGTGCCAGGCTCTGGCTGTGTTGCGTCATCGTTTCGATAAGGTGAGGTCACAAAAGAAGTAACACTGTGACATACGCTAACCGTATCTAGAACGAGCTGTGTTGAAGGTATACCACCTCTTGCTGAGTCATTCTTCGATGGCGATGAACAAGACCGTGAAGACATGGTTCCATACCTCCCGTCTGACCTGCAATTCCTGCACAAAGTCTACATCATCCTTATGCGTGCCATGGTTGCCATGGGCAAGACCAACTTACAGTCCATTCATTGTGATGTCCGTGTATTACGATCATTGATTGGCATATTCGACTCGCAACTCCTCAGCTTGGCCCCATCTTCTCCAAGTGAACTCGGTAAGTCTGACCCGGCTCTTTCAAAACTTGACTTGAGCTAACGAAATAGATACCCTGCAACTCAGCTGTGCACGTATTCACGTAATGGCGTTCCATTTCTTCGCCCACCCCACGAACCCTGGACCCGATGCCGAGGGTCTGTCACGATTCTACTCCCTTTGCATCTCAGTTATCCAATCCGCTTCGACGATGCAGACGACACAAAAGATCTTCTTACCCTCCGTCTCACAATCATTCATTGACCGAACTATTACTCTGGCTGGGTTTACCATTCTTAGACTCGTTCGAAGTCCGCTTGCTCAACATCTGGATGTACTTGCGGGCGAGCGAGCTTTCTCACAAGCGTATGATTTCCTTAAGAACGTCTCTTTACAACCAGGAGATATCCATTTCCGAACTGCGCACATCATGAAGGATTTATGGGGTAGCGACAAGGTGTTCCGTAAGAAGGATGGCCGTGTGGAATCGCTATATCTGAGGCTAAGGACGCGATTGAGCATGAGCATTAGTTACGACATGTTCTGGTACTGGCGAGAAGAGTTCAGCAACATGAAGAATCCGTACGGCGACGAAGTAACTCTTTCGCACGAGAACGTCCAGCAGAACCCACCTCGTAAGCATCTTACGTCAAGTCTGACGGGCTCTTAACTAACAAACATGTCAGAATACCCATCCCAACAACAACAACAACAACAACACCCACAGCAGCACCAGCAGCAACTTCCGGATCCTTCGATGAGACAGCAACAACAACTCCCAGTGACCAAATTCGACCCTAGCTTGGTGAATCCTCAGATGCAACAGGACCCGTCCGTAATGAGCTTCGATGCCTGGGAAGGTCCAGACTATGGAGTGCCGCCAATGCTAGATCAATTTCCCGATTACGACTGGGCGGCCGGATTTGAGTTCTCGAATGCGGAAATGCCCAATGTGCCGGTTGGCCCTATGAATCCAATGATGACAGCACCAGGGCCTGGAGGCGCACCGAATATGGGATATACCTACGGTTAGACGTTGTAGGGTCCGCGTGAGGGGATGAATCAGACGCGATGGAAGAGTAATAATAGCGGTTTCTCGCCTGGTGCGGGAGTTGAAGCGTTCAGATACCGTATACCTACTCAGATACGCAATGCCATGGAATATACTTTACCCCGATCGTCCATTGCAGACGCCACATACAGTCTACGAAGACCTCCCCAACGTAGACATCTGGATTCGGGATCGCGATCGCGGGATCGGTAACACCGCTAGACGATAGTCCAGGAACGGATCGCGGTGGCGCAAATTTTTCGATCGCTTCGATGCACGCTGCATCTTCCTGGGAACAGGCGCGACGCCAAAGAGCTGGGGTGGTGTGCCGGCCTGACCGAACGAACTCCGAACGCGATGGAGATGGATTACCAAGGCGTATATGATAACAAAGGGTCTTCTCTTCCAGTGGGGACAGTCCGACAGGTACAAGACGAACCTTGCAGCAAAAAGCAAAACGTGGATGCGCTCGCCTGTAGTGCCTTCATCGCGCAGCCTGACCCTGATGGGCCACTAGCGGCGCCTTGTGCACCACAATCCAAAGGTGTGTACCCAGGTGGAGGAGGAAAGAGGAACCGACACAAAACACCAAAGCAACCGCCATGCCGGCCGCCAGCTCACTTTAAATCCCAGTCTACCCCTCTCACCAACCCCCCATGCGCTCGCTCGCCTACCCAGGAGACTTCGGCATCGGCCAGCATACCCAACGGGGCATTCCATCCTCCAAATCCTCTCTCATACGATATCGCCTCCCGCCTCCAACGCGCCGACCATGGACATCGGCGAAACTGAATTTCGCAGTCTTGTCTGACCAGTGAGAAGGGACAAGCATGGCGCTCCTACCGGTCAAACTGCCGGCGAACATCGGCACCACACTACGTCAGCAGCAGGAACAAGGGCTTTGTTGCGGGGGTGGTCACCACCACGGCTGCGACTTTTCGCTTGGTGTTTTGCGCGTCGTCTCGAGGGGTGTGGATATGACGTTTGTGGATTGTGCACTTTTCACTATTTTGCATGTTATAGGGTTGGTTGAATGTTCATCCGAGAAAGTGTTTTCGCTTTCGCCATCGCAAAAAAGAAGATCTTTGATCAAAACAGATGGCTACGGAGTACTTGGCCGAGAAAGACGGGGGGAGGGCATACCCGGGTCTGCCTATCTGCGGCGTAGCCTCGTTCTCAACTGAAAAGAAGTGGTGTGGTTACTATCTTATTACCCTTTCATGCTTATTTCGAAATTAGCTATTAGATTTTCTATATAAAGGTTGTAGGAGTTAGGTCCGGTTGGTTGGTAATGATTAGATACTGTTCCCAAATCCGCGGTCGCTTTTCGGGTTGACAGCATCCTAGTTCGCAGGACGGGTACGTAAGGCCATCGCTTCCGCATCTGGTCGACTATTCGTGGGTAGCCCAGCCTTACTTGTTGCGGCCCGCCACAGTGTATACGCAAGACGCCGAGTCTCAGCGGGCTAAAGTCAGGCTGTCGGGTGTACCTTCTTGCTCGTTTTGATGCCTGACGAGGACACTATACCCCTTGAACTGTTTGAATCTGCTGCTTTTGGTATTAAGAAAGAGTTGGTTGCGCATACACAGTAAAGAGTCGGGGTATCGTTGTTATCGGCATTATCAAAGCGAAAGAAGAGAAGGCAATATGGGATCCAGCAAAGCAGGACAAACAGAAAGGAAGATGACGGCCGTCGAGAAACTGCGAAGCATGCTCGCGGATCCAAACAAGTTCCTTTCTTGTCCCGGAGTATACGATGGCTTCACAGCGCGGATAGCCCTCCAAGAAGGCGTAGACTGTCTATACATGGTACGTCTCCCCCATCTCCCCATCTCCCCATCTCCATATCCACC